TCTCGACGTTGCCATTGAACTTGGCACACATCTGGTCCGTATTTTCCGAGGGCTCCATCTATGCCCCTCGTTTCTTTCCTCAAAGTCTGCCCGAGAGTTAGTACCCTTGGACTTTTCTTCTCTCAGAGAAGAACAGTATAATGTGCCTTTTACACTTCAAGAACTGGAGGCAACACTCTCAGCTTGCCGATCATCGGCAGCTGGGCCTGACGACATTCATATTCGTATGTTACAACATTTACATCGGTCAGCCCTTGTAGTCCTCTTACACCTCTTCAATCTTATTTGGGCACAAGGAGTTCTTCCCCAGCTGTGGAAATCTGCCATTGTTCTCCCTTTCCGCAAACCGGGTACTACAGGACATGATGCCTCCCACTATCGCCCCATCGCTCTTACTAGTGCAGTTTGCAAAGTGATGGAACGTCTCGTAAATCGACGTTAATGTGGTATTTAGAGACACACAACAGTCTCTCCGCTAGTCAATATGGCTTTCGTAAGGGGCGTTCTACCATAGACCCCTTACTACGCTTGGATACGTATGTTGTAATGCCTTTGCGAATAATCACTCAGTTATTGCCATATTTTTTTGACCTTGAGAAGGCATATGACACAACTTGGAGGTATAATATTTTGGCCCAGGCCCATTCCTTAGGCCTCCGAGGCAATCTACCATCCTTCCTTAAGAACTTTTTAACTGACAGACATTTCCGTGTTCGAGTCAATAATGTTCTTTCCCCGGACTTCATCCAAGCTGAAGGTGTCCCTCAGGGATGTGTTCTAAGCACAACACTTTTTCCTCCTTGCTATAAATGATTTGGCCTCTGTTCTTCCACCCAATATTTGGTCATCACTCTATGTTGTTGACTTCGCTATTGCTTGTCAGGCACTGACTGTCCCTCTTATTGCAGTTTCTCTCCAGCATGCGGTCGACCGTGTTTCCACTTGGGCCACCACGCATGGGTTTAAATTTTCAAGTACCAAAACTCACCAAATTACTTTCACTAGACGCTCTGTTATCTCCGATCATCCTTTGTATCTCTATGGCTCCCGTATCCCCGAACGTGATACAGTCAGTGTTCTAGGCCTTCTCTTTGAAACCCTCGGTTATCCTGGAAACCTCACATAACCTCTCTGAAGGCAACTTGTCACAGCCGGCTAAACCTTCTTAAAACCCTTGCTCATCTTCCTGGGGAGCTGATCATCGAACTCTGTTTCGCCTACATTCAGCCCTCGTTTTATCGAACTCGATTATGGTGACCAGATTTATTCCGCGGGGCCCCTCCTGCTACTCTCTCTAGCCTTAACTCTATCCATCACCAAGGATTACGTTTGTGCCTTGGTGCTTTTCGCTCTTCCCCTGTTGAGAGCCTCTATACAGAAGCGAATGTTCCATCCTTGTCTGATCGCCGTGATGCCCATTGCCTTCGCTACTATGTACGCTCTCACGATCTACACAATCCTTCCATTTATAGAATGGTCACCGATATTAGTAGACATTCTTTATTCGTTCGCCGCCCCTGTTTGCTCCGTCCCTTTTCTCTTCGCCTACATTCACTCTTGTCTTCCCTTCAGTTACCACCTTTATATGTTCATGTAGCATCTCACTTTTCCCTACCCCCTGGGAAGTTCCAGCTGTTCGGGTCTGTTCTTTCTCACTCCTTGCTCGAAAGCTCAACTGCCTATGGTGGCTTCCCGCTCTCTTTTTCCCTTTATCACTTCCACTCCCATTCTCATGCCACCGCTGTGTACACAGATGGCTCAAGTCTTCAGACGGCGTCGGATTCGCAGCAGTGTTTCCGGACAGCGTCGTGCGGGGACATTTACATCTTCAGCTAGCATTTTTACTGCTGAACTGTATGCCATTCTTGCAGCACTTATTCGTATCGTATCTATGCCTGTGTCATCATTTGTAGTATCTCAGACTCCCTTAGTGCTCTACAGGCTATACGAAAATTTGATACATCTCATCCCCTAGTTCTCTGTATCCAACTTTGGCTACGCTGTATCTCTACCAAACATAAAGATATTGTTTTTTGTTGGGTCCCTGGCCATGTCGACGTACAGGGCAATGAACAGGCAGACACTGCTGCGCGGTCAGCAGTACATGACCTACCAATTTCCTATCGAGGTGTTCCATTTCTGGACTATTTTGCTGCAATAGCTACCCACCTTCGCACCCGTTGGCAACAACGTTGGTCAACTCTGCTCGGTAACAAACTTCATTCTATTAAACCGAGCATAGGTTACTGGCCGTCTTCTTGTCATCAGTGCCGAGGTTGGGAGACCACTCTCTCCCGCCTTCGCATTGGTCACACTCGTCTTACTCATGGGTATCTCATGGAGAGGCACCCTGTTCCTCTCTGTGAGCAGTGTCAAGTTCCAGTATCGATTAGCCACATTCTGTGTTAACTGCCCTCTCTATCAACGAGCACGCAGAATTTACCTCCAACGTCGTCTTCGTTCTACTACTCTCTCTTTACCTTCCCTTCTTGCTGATGGACCCTCCTTTAATCCTGACTCTCTCATTGACTTCTTGACAACGACTGATTTACTCCACAAACTCTGATGATACTTTTCGCACTCCCCTCAGCCCTTTCTAGTTCAGTCTCTTGCTGCCCTTTACCCTTTCACCATCCACTGCCCCGCTGTTATCCGTAACCTATTACTCATCCATCTCCCTTTTGCCACCTGATGGCCTCGCTTCCTTCCTGCCCTGCAGCGCTGTATAGTCCTTGTGGCTTAGCGCTTCTTTTTGATTATAATAATAATAATAATTCACTGTGATGAAATGAAACTCCTTCACCATTTGCTCTTCCAAGTCTGGAGGATGAGCAGGAGCATTGTCCATTACCAGGAGGCACTTGAGTTCCAATTTATTTTCCAGGAGGTATTTCTTCACACTTGGGCCAAACACTTCATTGAACCAATCAAGGAAAATGTCCCTCGTGACCCATGCCTTACTGTTTGCCTTCCACTTCACACACAATTTACTCTTGGCAACACTTTTTCTTGAACACATTGGGATTTTCAGAGTGATACACCAGTAAAGGCTTCACTTTGAAATCCTCATTAGCATTACTACAGAACATGAGAGTTAGCCTGTCTTTCATAGGCTTGTGTCTTGGGACTGCCTTTTCCTCCTGCATGATGTAGGTCCTCTTTGGCATTTTCTTCCAAAAGAGGCCTGTTTCGTTACAATTGAACACTTGTTGGGGTTTGAATTGTTCAGCCTCTATGTACCCCTTGAATTCCTGAACATATTTTTCAGCCGCATATTTGTCAGAACTTGTAGTCTCGCCATGCCTTACCACACTGTGTATGCCACTACACTTCTTAAATCTCTCAACCCAGCCTTTGCTGGCCTTAAATTCACTGACATCAGCATTGGTTCCAGGCATTTTCTTTGCGAGATCCGCATGCAGCTGCCTTGCCTTTTCACAAATTATCTACTGCATAACATCTGATAATGGTTTCTCATTGATCCACACAGCAACAAAGTCTCCACATCTTCCAGTATTTGCAATCTCTATTTTGTAAGCATATTTGCATCTTTCACAACAACAGCTTTCTTGATTTCCTTTTTCTTGGCCACGATAGAAGTGATGGTTGTAAGAGTTTTGTTATACAACCTGGCAAGCTCTGCCACACATACTCCACTTTTATATTTTGTAATGATGTCTTTCTTGAATTCTATGGTGTTTCTCACTTTTATTAAAGGGCTGGCACTAGAAGCTTTCTTTGGGTCCATGGTGGCTTATTTAGCAGTTACAAGCACTAAAAAGAATGGAATAATACGAAATGTATTGTATGAATGCGTGGGATTGTGCTCACTGGCTGATAAACAATGGCACACTTGATGTAAATGGTGTGTCGGGCCGCTTGGGCCATGCAGACACGTTCGGAATGAATGACTATTTCTGAGCTCAGTGACAATCACCGAACTAATATTTTGATGAAAAAAAACTACTATTTCTGAATATTATGAAATCCGACAACTACGAAATCCGGGGGTCCATTGTACCTTGAAATTGAGCTCAAAGTAGCAGAAATGTTTAATTTTTGCCCATGTTCAAGAGTAAACAAATGACATCACCGTCCAATACGTGTCCAACTGGCCAGTCTAATATGCAGTCATGAATAGGTTGACATTATTTATACAATAATTATAATAATGCAGTAGTCTGCATAACAGTAAATCTCCTATTTTTTGTGAGAATGAAAATTCAAAATGGAAAGCAAGAGTGATACAAGAGGGGCCTGGAGATGTGACTGATGAACAGAGAAAATGTTATTTTAGTGCCAGGAATATATGCCTTGTTTATTCTGGACCCTATTTTGAAATTGGCTAAATTGCGAATTTCTGACCACTTTATTGGGTAGCTGAAATCGGTAAATGGGCAGTTTCTTGTACTCAGTCGATAGAACAAATGGAGTTCTAGTGAAATAGCTATGATTTTAGTCAACCGGAACAATGGAATTGGCTGAAAATAGGGCTCAAAGTGGGCAAAATCACCAATGCGTAAATATCGCCAAGAGCGTAATTTTCCATCAAATTTTGTACTTTTGGTGTTATTACCAATGGGAAAAGATTCTCTATCATTTCATAAGAAAAAATATTTTTTTTTTTTTTTTTTGAAAATTTTTCGACAGAGTTAAGGATCAGGGGTCTAGACACTGAAAGGGTTAGGAGAGTATACTGTACCTATAATGGTTTGTGATAAAAATTTTGGGTGATGTTTATGGTGCAGTATTTTGGAATGTTAGGGGGCTGGAGTCATGGATGAGGGATAGATATCTTGGATCACACCATGGGCAAAAAGCATCAAGTGTTTGTATGAGCCCACTGTAGACACACAACACACTAGATATGTAACTACTGAGAATAGTAATATCGTATCTGTTACAGTCATTAGTATGATCATCATACCCCCGAGGAGAATCTTGAAGACAATAACAATTAGATACACTTGTTATATCAATTTCACTTCTTTGTTTTGCAGGAACGACGAGCCTGGAGGGATGCAAGACTGGCTGCAATTGCTAAGCTCAAAAAGGATATGAAGGAGCTGGAAAAATCTGGAAAGTAATAGATCAAATAATTAGAAATGCATCATGATCATCAGTAAAGTAGAGAGTTTAAGATTTCAGTTATGTTAATATAATATTTGTCAAAGATAACAAAGTGCATTGCCCCATTCTTTGTGTAGACTAAATCCTTATCTTATTTAATGTGCTTAATAATGTAATTCACTTAGGCTAAAGAGCATACTGTCACACAGATATAAACTGTAATCTTACATTACTAGAGTAGAGACAGAAATTTCCATGAGGAAACTAAACAACCTGCAACAAGTAATGTATGTGCCAGGTTGTTGTGGCTATGAGGTCTGTGGGCAACTATCAACAACAGCCTAGCTAATCAAATACTCTGAAAGTAAGTCTGGCTTCAGGTTTGGCTGAGAGGGTACAAGATTATTTTATTCACAAGAATGCCAAGATCAAGCATAAAACCCTTGTAACCAGTCACAGGTGCAGTTATTATTATTATTATTAACAAAAACCGAAGTCACAAGTACAGTACATCACAGTTATGGTATGAAGGTTAAATGCTTAGGGTAGTCTTGACATTAGCTCATGAATAATTGATAGGTTTTTATCTTAAAAGTTTAATGATTATAATCAGAAAGAAGCACTAAACCTACACAGGTCACACAGTGCTTAAAATTTTTTAAAAGAATAACAATTGTCATGGAATGGTGGAATAATTGTAATATTTTAATGACTACACAATTGTATTTTTTGTGGTTATTGAATTTTTGTTAGTTTGAAGGAAGCATTAGCCATTACTGAAATAGAACACTTTTTTGACTAGCAAATGACTTCAATATTGATAAATATTTGAACAAGTTTATTATGAAAATGATCATGTACTGCAATCTGATAAAAAAAATATTGTTCAAGATTACTAAACTTTTGTAATTTTTAAGTATAATATTTAACATAAACATTTGTAGTGTGACACTGTGGTGGAGGAAAATGCAATATTCTGGTGTCTTTGCTATAATTGTGAGGTTTTATCAGTAATATAACTAGATTCAATTCTATATATGTTGCACAGGTGTTTACCAGAGCCATAAGCAATTACTGTGTACAAAGAACCTGAATTTACTGTTCACTGTAGAAAATGTTAATATTACAATTATTTAATGAAGATTGTGTTAGAAAAATTCAAGATTGTATGCCTTGGAATAGCTATCATCTACTCTGGCTGCAAATTAAATATAAGCAGAAGAGCTTTTACCCTGTTGGTGGTCATAAGGTGACAGTCTCACCTGACCTGCTCCACTTCCTCCATACAATCTTTTCAATACGGTAAATGCAAGTACGTACAGTGCTTACTTCTCACTTATGCCTTAATATTTTTTGCTTCTTACCTTCTGCTCACTTGTGTTCTGAGTGTATTTTTCTTTCCACATTCATTTCATTCCAAACCAGCATATACATTATTATAGTCATGGGGAAGCACTAAACCCATAGGGATCATGCAGTGCCTGCAAAATAGGAGAAAGATGAGTTTGACCCAAGGAAGAGAAGCTCCAGCTCCTTTGATCAAGAGCCCATCACTGGTATCAAGACACCCCTCTTCAAGGGGGTTACCTGAAGCATATTCAAAGTGGTAATGTAGGCAATTTACCATCGCATTGTAAGCATACTTAACTGGGCGTTTTATTATACAATATTATTACACTTTAGTCACAAAACGTGCTAAATCCATATTGATCATTCAGCAGCACTTATCACTGAGGATGATTACTAGTTACACATGTATGGAAGTATGTTTCTGGCAGTCTTCTACAGCACTGTGGCATAAAGTTTAATTTAATTAATATAATCGAAAACCAAGTGCTAAACTCACAAGGGTCATACAGTGCTGAATGTAACTAGTATTCATAGTGCTTATCCCACTGCCATATCTTCTAATTATACCATACTTTGCGGCTTATTAGACACATTTTTTTCCATAAAATATCTCCAAAAGCCACCCTGCATCCTATAAACTGAAGGTCAGTGATGGGAGCTGTAAGTTTGGGGTGTGGGGTGGGCTATAGCTCTCCCAGCTACAACCGATGCCGAGCCATTGAAACTAAAAAGTCTTACAAGCCACAAAATGCAGTATACAGTATCTTTTAAACATTTCTGCACACTACAGTTCATCACAGGACAATACTGTGTGTTAAACCATCCTCTTACCACCAGATAACATTTAATTATTTTGGTTAGATGCTGTTAATCTGTTCTGGCTTATAACCAAAATAAAAGATCTCATTGTAAGTGCAACCAAGTAAACAGTAGTTAACATGCTTAAAAAAAAAAAAAAAAAAAAAAAAAAAACTTGCTAAGCATCGACTTTTGCACAGGCCCAGGTGTGACACGGTATGTTGGTTAATGTGTGAGGAAACTAATGCTCTGTAATATGTTGGGAAAAAAATTGCTTATTATTAGAACCGATTACATGTGGAAACTGACCACACAACTTTACACATTTAATTTTTTTTTATATTAATAGGGACCCCATATATTATATTCCTAAATTATTATTATTATAAAAAAGAAGCGCTAAACCACAAGGGCTATACAGCGCTATATACACCTACCATCCGACTTACGACCTGCTCGACTTACGACCATGTATTTTATGCCAAATTTCTGGGAAATAAACAACTATTTGTGTTGTACACAGTGTTTATCCTAAACCTTACAGTATAAAATACAGTACTAACAACATAAAAAGTAAAGTAAAACATGAAATACCAAAATAAAACAATAAAATAAAGTCATTACAAAAATGTTTTGTTGATATTCAGTAGTAAAGTTCGACTTACGACCGGTTTCTCGGAACCGAACTCGGTCGTAAGTCAGATGGTAGGTGTATTCCTAAAGAAGCACCAAGCATGCAAGGGTCATCCATTGCCTGGCTACATATGTGAACCTTAAAAGTATAATTTATTCATCATTAGTCATGATTGGATATACAGTACTGTATCAGTTATACTAATAAATATGAATCTTAATACTGTACTTTTATGCTTTTGTTAATTTAATTCATAATGTATTATTATTATAGAAATTTGTATTATCATTACTGTACATTCTCAAGAAAATACTAAACCATACAGGCCATACAACTTTACAAGGTACTAATGTCAAGAAAAATGATAAGGGTAAGATCAGTTTCTAGAGGAAAGTTGAAGCATGAAAAGTGTTATGTACTGAAGTAGGGATTTCTGACAAGAGGGCAGCCAGGGCAAGGACAACTGGGCATTGAAGGAGAGTTCTGTTAAAAGGTACAGTCCGTCAAAAGACATTACTGGCAACAAGATTTCACAATTCTCAATCGGAACACTAGGTCATCTTTCTATGACTGTTGCCAATGCAGGGGTTCCTGAATCCTATAAATCATAATGGTTAGAATTATATAGCACATGGATTCCAGAGTTCTACTGTACAGTTTCCCAAAACCAACAAGCTGTGAAAAAAGGCAAACTAAAAACACAATTGTGGTTTGCTTGTTGGTCATTACTTGACATCAACAATGTCAGTGATTTCTAAAGCACCGAGACATAATTGGGAAATTGCGACTCCCAGATGATGAAAAGCTTCTGAACCTGCAGATCATGCAATTATTATATTTGTGGGAATTAATAAATTCCTCCCTTTTCTCTTGAAGGGTCAAACGTAAAAATACTTTAATATATGTAAAAAATGAAATGTAGAGCAAATGATTACAGCACTAAGGTTAGAATTGAGAGGCAGAGGAAAAGGCAGAACAAGGAATTCCTGCCATATGAAATGCAAAATGCTATTGGAAGTACAGACTGTAGGATCCAGAGTGGGAAGGAAGGAATAATGTTTTGAGATTTTAAGAATCCTTCAACAGGGTGGATCACTCAAAAGCAGGAATTAACCCCTTCAGAGTCAAGAGGCCCTCTCCTAAACTCGTTTTCAGGATCGAAAATTTTTCGGAAAAAGAAAAATTATTTTTTCTTATGAAAAAATAGAGAATCTTTTCCCGATCATAATGACACCAAAAGTATGAAATTTGATGGAAAACTTATGGAATTATGTTCTCGCAAAGTTAGCAGTCTCGATGATGTTTACGCATCAGCAATCTCGCCCACTTTGAGCCCTATTTTCGGCCAATTCCAGTGTACTAGTCAACAAAAATCTTAACTATTTTGCTGGAACTCCATTTTTTCTATCAAATGAGTACAAGAAGCCACCCATTTACCGATTTCAACTATCCAATAAAGCAGTCAGAAATTAGCAATTTTGCCAATTTCACACAAATTTCAAAAGATGCCAATTTCCAAATAGGGTCGAGAATAAACAAGACAGACATTCCTGGCACTAAAATAACATTTCCTCTGTTCATTAGTCATGTCCCCAGGCCCCTCTTACATTTCTTTTGCTTTCCATTTTGAATTTTTATTCTCACAAAAAATAGAAGATTTACTATTATGCAGACTACTGCATTAGTGTAGAAATGGTATAAATAATATCAGCGCACTTGTGAAAGAATATTAGACTCACCAGTTGACGTGTATTGGACGCGTGGCATGATTTGTTTACTCTTGAACTTCGGCAAAAATCGAACATTTCTGCTACTTTGAGCTCAATTTCAAGGTACTTTTCTTTGTAAAACCAATCAAAATCATCTCAATTTCTGTAATATGTCTTCCATTCTATAAAATGAGACCAGGAAAACTAGAATACAACCATAAATACCATACGAAAATACAGTGCAAAGTCGCTATTTTAAACCAAAAACATGGTCGAAGTTTTTTTTTCTCATTATGCACTGTGTGCTGCAGGATTTTTTTTATACTGTGCACACTGACCACACAGACCCATTCTTTCATATGTAAGCCTACCAGCTTTCTCTCACTAGATTTGAAGGCGCTAGAATTTAGGCATACTAGTACGTCAATAACCCTGGTGCGTAAGCCGTACTAGTACGTCGGAAACCCTGAAAGGGTTAAAAGATAGGAAACTCTGTAAGGATCTTGAGTTGTCGGAGCAATTATCACAGGGGATGAGGAGGATGATTGAACATTCAAGGACTGGGAAGGAAGAGTTGATGAGACCTCCACCACCAGACTAATAACAGATGCCAGAGTGGATTTGACAAGTTGTGCAGTCAGGGAAGCAAAGGAATGAGAAGTAGGAGGTGGCCTTGTATAATCATTCATCACTTCACCCAAGTAGTAGCAGATGAGGATTGAGCGAGCTGTGGGACTAGGGTTGTATAGGACTTTGGGGGATGGGGTAAAGTATATGGAATTGAATTAAGATGCAGAAGAGGTGAGAAAAACATTTTAAATGAAGAAGGGTGTAGAAGTGGTGTATGATACAAAGAGTTGCAGTCTGACAAGCAACGAACATGAAATTATTAGCAAGCTGTGTCTCAGTTAAAATGGGTTATAACTTGGCTGTGCAACATACCTTCCATCTTTTTTTTTAAGTAGCAAAGCTCATCTTCCTTATAGTACAGAGCATGAATAAGAATAGGAGTGATGATCTACAAAACAATTCAGGAAATAAAGTCAGGACTAACTGCAGTAAAGATTATTTAGTAGTATTGGTAAAGCTAGGGCAGCCTGTTGAGGGAAGTTCCTGGCTGTCAAACCAGGAGCAAGGAATTACATTCCTAGGGGTCTCAATTCAAAAATTTTTTCATTTGAATTTTTTTTTATGAACATGTATTTATTTTTTTTAACATATCGGCTGTTTCCCACCAAGACAGGGTGACCGAAGATGAAGAAACACATCATCATACCCGATCACTATCTTCCGGGGGCACCCTACACTACAGTTAAACTCAACATATAAACCCCCCTTTTTCAGAGTGCAACACTGTTTTCCCCACCTCAAGGACTCAAGCCCCAGAACCATTTCCTGAATCCTTCATGTTCTTTGCTACACTCCACAGTGAACAAGTCATCAAAACCACTTGTCCCCTCACTCCTAACACCCCATGCTCTGTAAGACCAAGCCCTCAACAACAACCTCCTTTACCCCCCCATCCAACCTTTCCTAGGCTGACCCCTCCCACCTTTCTTCCACTAAAATTTTAAAAATGCCCTCCAAGTCATTTATTTTATTCCATCCTCTTAAATGTCCGAAACCCCTCAGCAACCACGTCAGTACAAAAATTTTAAAAAAATATAAGTACAATGGAACCTCGAGTTTCATACTTAACAAAGCAATATTTCCCCTAAAAAATTCAAAAAACCATTCAGCCCCAAAAATATTCCAAAAAATACATTTTTTTAAAAAATAACATAGTTTTTCATACCCAAAAAAACCCGGACTTTATTAAGAAACCGACGGCTGGGTTTTGAGACTCTATGACCGCGGGTTTAATCCGGCCGGGGGTAGGTTTTGGGTTTTCAAACACGATTTTAAAAATTTTATATATATATTATGTTGTTAATGTTGCAGTTGTGTTTTTGTTGCAGTTTAAAAATGTAGTGTAAAGCCCCTTCTGGCAAAACATGATGGGGTGAAAAGATGGTGAAAGTTTTTCTTTTCGGGGCCCCCCTGCCTGGGGGGAACGGGCCCGGTGTGATAAAAAAAAAAAAAAAAATATATATATTATATATATATTTACTTAAATTAGTAATACAATAATAAATTAAATTTAAATAAAAAATTTTAAAAAAACATTTTTTAGTTTATTGAAGACTGTGGTGGCTTGGAAATGAGGGAAAGAGGGAGCACTTATTGTTTGGAAAGGGAACCTCTTCCCCAAAATTTGGTAACAAGCCTTATCGGGGTTACTTTCCCTTTTTTGTCTTTTTAAAGTACAGGACCCGCTTGAGAGCACTGGGCATCTACAAAAAAATGTCCACAGACAGTTTTTTTTTGGGACATGGGTTTTGTCACGAACTTGTTTCAGAAAAGGCTTGTTTTTGCTTTGGGCAGGGGGAATTTTTCAGCAAAAGCCTGCACCCTATTCCACAATGACAAATCTCCTTTCTGTGAAAGGGGACCCTCCCTCCTCTTTTCCCCCTCTGAAGAAGTCCTCAGCTGTGGTTGACGTTAGATAAGTCTTGCAGCTCTTCGTGGTTATCTTCCCTGTGGTCATCCACCAACTCTTCCACATCCTTACCACTCACCTCCAACCCCATGGACTTCCCCAATGCCACAATACCTTCCACAACAGGCAGAGGGTTGGCAGGGTCAGGGTCAGCCTCAAACCCTTCAAAATCCCTCTTTTGGACACTATCTGGCCACAATTGTCTCCAAGCAGAGTTCAATCCTGGAAGTCACTCCCTCCCAAGCCTTACCTATAAGGCTTATGCAGTTGTAGATATTGAAGTGATTCCTAAAGAACTCTCTTAGGGTGAATTGAGTGTCTGAGGTCACATCAAAGCACTTTTGAAACAATGCTTTAGTGTAGAGTTTTTTGAAGTTAGAAATAACCTGCTGGTCCATGGGCTGTAGGAGAGTGCTGGTGTTGGGAGGCAAGAATTTCACTGTGATGAAAGTGAATTCCCTAGACAATAGGTCTACCAAGTTTAGAGGATATGCAGGAGCATTGTCCAGTAACAGGAGGTACTTGAGTGGCAAATTATTTTCCAGGAGGTATTTTTTCACACTGGGGCCAAACTCTTCATGGACCCACTCTTTGAAAATTTGCCTTGTGACCCATGCCTTATTATCAGCTTTACACATCACACACAATCTATTCTTGACGACATTGTTTTTCTTGAACACACTAGGATTTTCTGAGTGATACACCAGTAAAGGTTTCACTTTAACCCTTAAACGGTCCAAACGTATATATACGCTCACTCGCGCAGCGCCCCAAATATTTTGAAAAAAAAAAAAAAAAAAAAAAAAAAAAAAAAATCTTTTTTTTTTATATAGAAAAAAAGAGCACATTTTTTTAAGTGTTTTAGGATAAAAAAAAAATTTAGGGTCAGTACTTACCGAGGTATGAGGCCGCGAAGTTGGCACTTGGCGATCACCTGACGGCAACATGGAGCACTGCTGCTTGCAGAAATTCAACATAT